GGGTTGTTGTTTTTCCCTTTCAACCTGACACTGCCAAAAGTACGAAAAAGATATCACCACAAGCCCTGAGGGCACTCCGTAAATGCTCTGCAGTTTCCTACCAGTCTCTTTGAACCTTGCTTTACAGAAACCACCGTTCCCTCTTCCCACCCGCCTATTATATCCTCAAACGTGCTCTAATCTTTCTACCGCCTGTCGCGCAACCTCCTCGTTTACCTGCGGTGGCCACGGGCTGGGTTCCCCTCTCCGGGTAACACGCCTGACAAGGGGTCAGCTCGTCGATCCTCTTTTCATCTTCACTCAAAGGCTAGATTGAGGGAAAGAACCGAGAAGTATCGCAGCTTCCTCGTCTAGTGGCCTCCAGCATTTTTCATGGGACGTACTTCCGCACGCTGAGCAGAGAGCCCCCACCTCGTGTCTCCTCTAGGAACCGCGGAGGATTCACAACTCTCTGGTCGGTTGCTTTAGTTCTTCTAGTGAGGGGCGCGACCAAGGGCCTCAAGCCACGTGACAGTTAGGTCTCGCCTCTTCCGTTCTAGCTTACTCTTCACTATTGGAAAACTGTTGCGTTGCGTGTTCTAACTTGGGAAAATCACCTTTAAAATTCTTCAAAATACCAATGAACATATATGGCTTTTCCTCTCCTCCTCACCAAATGTATTAAAATCCGGTGCATCGGGTATTGTAAGAAACTCCTCTTGTGAGTCTAATGTAAGTTGTTGTTGTACATAGGAGTGTGTGTTATGTGCTGTGGAGTCGATTCCGACTCATAGCAACCCTGTACAGGGTTTCCGAGGCTGTAAATCTTTACGGGAGCAGAAAGCCTCATCTTCCTACACACAGAGATCCTTTACAGGGTTTCCCTGACTGTAAAAATTCATGGGAGCAGAAAGCCTCATCTTTCTCACGCGAAACAGCTGCTAGTTTCGAACTGCTGTCCCTGAGGTTCGCAGCCTGATTGGTAACCAACAGTCAGCCCGACTTACAGCGACATTGTATAGTTTCCAAGGAGCAGCTAGTAGATTTGAACCACCAATCTTTTGGTTAGCAATCCAGCGCATATCCTACTGTGCCACACCAGCATTACTGTTGTTGTTAAGTTCCATCGAGTCAGTTCGGACTCAACCACCCGGTGTAGGGCTTCTGAAGAGCAGCTTGTGGGTTTGAACTGCTAATCTTGTGATTCACAATCCAGTGCTGATCCCACAGCGCCACACCCCTTCAGAAGTGTGTATGTTTAGATGGGAATATGCCAAGAAACATTGGCTTCATATTTTGGTATTTTTGTTTAATAAATTTCTACCATTTTGTAGTAATACTTTTGGACTTATATGTTTGAGAAAAAATAGTAACTTTTATAATATTTATTTAAACTGATGCAACAAGTGATTTCAACTATTTTAATCTCTTTACAGACATACTTTGTTTTATTGTGTTTTGCTTCATTGTACTTCCAGATTTTGCTTGTTTTACAAATGGAAGGTTTGTGGGACCCCTGTGTCAAACAAGACTGTAGGTGCCATTTTCCCAACACCATGTACTCACTTTGTGTCTCTGTGTTACACTTTGGCAATTCTCACAATATTTCAAATGTTTCTATAATGCTATTTCACACTCAATAGACTACATTATAGTATAAACATAACTTTTATATGCACTTGTTTGTTGTTGTTAAGTACCGTGAAGTTGGTTCCGACTCATAGTGACACTGCACAGGGTTTCTGAGGCTACAAATCTTTACGGGAGCAGAAAACCTCATCTTTCTCCTGTGGAACAGCTGGTAGTTTTGAACTGCTGACCTTGAGGTTCGCAGCCCGATTCGTAACCACTACGCTACCAGAGCTCCTTCTTTATATGCACTGGGAAACCAAAAAATACATGGCTTGTTTTAAAGACTATAAACACAATAGGACTAATGGAACAGGAGAGTCTCTGTTGCTGTTAGGTGTCATTGAGTCGGTACTGACTCATAATGACCCTATGCACAACACTGCCCAGTCCTGGGTCAATCTTCACAATCATTGCTACACCTGAGCCCATTGCTGCTGCCAGTGTGCCTGTCCATCTCCTTGGGGGTCTTCCTGTTTTTCTCTGACCCTACACTTTACCAAACATGATATCCTTCTCCTGACAGTATATCTGAAGTATTATGAGAGACAAAATTTGGCCATCCTGGCCTCCAAGGAGTACTCTAGCTGAACTCCCTCCAACACAGATCTTTTTGTTCTTTTGGCAGTCTTTCAATATTATCACTTTCAATGTTATCCACCACCACAGCTCAAATGTGTCAATTCTTCTACGGTCTTCCTTAGTCACTATCCAGCTTTTGCATGCATATGAAGTTTTTGAAAATACCATGGCTTGGGTCAGGTGCACCTTAATCCTCAAACTGACATCTTTGCTCTTCAACACTGCAAAGAGGTCTTGTACAGCAGATTTGCCCAATGCAGTATGTTGTTTGATCTCTTGACTGCTGCTTCTATGAGTGTTGATGGGGAGTCTCTAGGTGTTGCAAATGTTTACCCAGCTTGGCTGCTAACCAAGAGGTTGGAGGTTCAAATCCATTTCCAGACACCTAAAAAGAAAGTCCTGGTGAGCTATTACTGAAAAATCAGCTCTTGAAAACCCTATGGAGCAGAGTTTTATTCTGACACACATGGAATCACCATGATGGGCATGGACTGGACAGCAATTGACTCTTTTTTTTTTTTTAATCTAAGAAGCAAGAGTAAACTTCACATTGATTTGCAACTCTGACCTTATCAAATCCTCATTACATTGATTTGCTGTTTCTGTCCAATAAGATAATACCAGGATAAATATCTTTTCAACAAAAAGAGTTGGCATGGGATTTTAAATTGTGCCTATGAAAAACTTGTACACAAAGAGGCAGTCGTTAGAAGAGAAGAAGGAAATACTGAGTGGTTTAAAATCAGCAAAGGTGTGCATCAGAATTGTATCCTTTTACTATACTTATTTAATCTGTGTGTTGGGCAAATAATCTGAGACGCTGTACTATATGAATAATAATGCAGCATCAGGATTGGAGGAAGACTCATTAACAACCTGTGATATGCAGATGATACAACCAGGCTTGCTGAAAGTGAAGAGGATTTGAAACACCTGAATGTAAAGAAAACAAAAATCCTCACAACTGTAAGCAATAAATGGAGAAAAACTTGAAGTCAAGAATTTCATTTTATTTGGATACACAATGACCACAAAAGGCAGTAGCCAAGGAATTGGGTACATTTGCTACAAAAGACCAAGGACTGCCAGATGAATGACTAAATCTGTGTTGAAAGTACAGCCAGGAGCAGTGAGAGCCATCAACAAGATAACAGGCTAGGCAGATGTGCTTCACAAACTCTCTACACCTAAGATACGGAGAAGAAATGAAACAGACACAGATGATAATACTGGAACTCAGAGCTTCAGAGGAAAGGGTAAAGAAATAGGCTGAATCTATTCTTGAGATGGTCTCTAAATTTGGGTAGGATATACTCAAGGTTGTACCTTGACTCTCCATGGACTTCTTATAATTTTCTTCAGCTTTAACTTTAACTTGTATATAAGCAATTGACAGCCTCTTCTGCAGTCAGCCCCTGGCCATTATACTGAGGTGCTCCATTATCTTTTTCCACAGATGTAGTCAATTTGAATCCTGTGTATTCCATCTGGTGAGGTGTCAATGTATAGATGTCATTCATATTAATGAAAAGAAAAAGGTTGTTGTAAGGAATAAGTTATTGATTTTGCAAAATTCTATCATGTAATCTCTGCTGTTGCTTCTATCACAAAGGTCGTATTTTCCAAGTAATGATCTTTTTTCTTTGTTTCCAACTTTTGAATTCCAATCACCAATAATGATCAATTGTATGTTTGATCAGTTTCAGACTAAAGAAGTTGGTAAAAGTCTTCAATTTCTTCATCTTTGGCATTAGTGGTTGGAAAGTAAAATTGAATAATAGTCATATTAACTAGTTTTCCTTATGTTGTTGTTGTTAAGTGCCGTTGACTCAGTTCTGACCCATAGCAACGTTGTATAGAGTTTCCTAGGAGTTGCTGGTGAGTTTGGGCCACTGAACCTGTGCTTCAAATTGACTTTGCAGTCCAGTGCATTAAACCACAGTGCCATACCAGGACTCCTTATAGATATGTAGATATTATCCTGTAACTGTTAGCACTGTACTTCAGGTAGATCTTAAAATGTTCTTTTTGATGATGAATGTGATGCTATTACTCTTCAGTTTGCCATTCCAGTCATAGTATCCCATACTATGCTCAATTCAAAATAACCTATACTAACCCAGCTCACTAATACCTAGGATATTGATATTCAATTATTTATTTCATGTTTTTACAACTTCCAATTTTTCTAGATTCATACTTTGTACATTCCATATTCCATTTATTAATGCATGTTTGCAGCTGATTCATTTCATTCTGAGTCCTGCCCCATTAGCAAATGAAGGTCCTGAATTCTATGCTTCAGCTGCATCATTAAGGTCAATTGTAGTTTAGGGAGGCAGTTTTTCCTCAGTGCCTTTCAACTTAAGGGATTCATCTTCCAGGACTATATAAGACAATGTTTCACTGCTATGTACCCGGTTTTCAGTGACCTTTTAAAAAAAAGTAAATTGCTAAGCCCTTCTTCCCTGTCTCTCTTAGTCTGGCAGTTCCACTGACATTATGGGTGATCCTTTTGGCATTTGAAATACCAGTGGCATAGCTTTAGGCATCACATTAACATATAAGCCACCATAGTATAACAAACTGACAGAGAAATGGTGGCATCTCAGACTTTTGTTGTTGTTATGTGACTTCAAGTTGGTTCCAATTTACAGAACCAAATATTGCCCTATCCAGCGCCCTCTTCACAATCTAACTCTAGTATTCTCCTGTTGGGACTTTGAAAGTTTCATATTATGGATCCTTCTTGGGAACTCCAAGCCTCTTGACATGGCCAGAGGACCCAATATCTAATACACAAAGCTCACTTTCTGCCCTTGTTCTGACTGGGGAATCTCAGTCTCACTGCTGTCCATCCCTGTGTCAAGACTCTTGGGGCTGGCCGTGAGCAAGGACATGGCCATGGAGGGCTAGAGCTGAGAGCAAAGTGTCCAGCTGACATGAAGTATAAAGTTCCTCACATGAATGACTTGGAAGCCCATTTTCACTTATTGTCACCCTTCACTCAAGAACTTAACTCTGAAGTTTCAACCCAAAGTCACAGTTCTTTCTCTCATAGAAAACCCCATACTCATAATATAGTCATACATATTTAGTGATCTTGTTCCTAAAAATTCCATTATCTTATTTCTTAGCATTAAATATCATTCATCTTATAGTTTTCCTCAACCAATCTTAATTACTCAAATAGAAAATTTTATCATCATGCTCATGGGTTGAGGAAGGTGAAGATTCTTATCATCGTTATTATGGATAAGGAGGTCAGATAAACGGGAAAATCTCATTTCCCTCACAGAATCACAGAATGGTATCAGTGACAAGAAATATCCAGGCATGCATGGAATAATCTGAAAATGTTGATGTTGTTGTTAGGTGCCACTGAGTTGGTGCCAACTCATAGTGACCCTATGTACAACAGAATGAAACAATGTCTGATCCTGGGCCAATCTCACTGTCATTGCTACATTTGAGCCCATTGCTGCTGACACTGTGCCAGGCCATCTCATTGAGGGTCTTCTTCTTTTTCTCCATCCCTCCACTTTCCCAAACATGATATCTTTCTCCAGTAACTGGTCCCTTCTGGTAATATGTCCAAAGTATGAGAGACAAAGTCTGGACATCTTAGCTTCCAAGGAGCAGTCTAGCTGTACTTCTTCCAACACAGATTTATTTGTTATTTTGGCAGTTCATAGTACTTTCAATATTTTCCTCCAACACCATAATTCAAATACACCAATTATTTTATTTGTTGTTGTTGTTGCTATGTGCCGTCGAGTGCCGTAAAGATTTAAACCCTCGGAAACCCTGTACAGGGTCGCTATGGGTCGGAACCGACTCGACGGCACATAGCAACAACAACAACAACAACAAAATTATTTTATAGTCTTCCTTATTCACTATCCAATGTTCGTATACACATGAGGTTATTGAGAATACCATGACTTGGTATTCTGAAACTACATGAGCCTATATGGAAATCCAGTGGCATAGCTTCCAGAATCACAGCAACTCACAAGCCACCACAGTACAACAAAATGACAGA